TTGCTAACTGGACTGCCTCGCATTATTATTATTTCACTCTCATACACTAATTTTTGTTCGTTGTTGTCCTCCCTTTTCTTATAGGCACTTTACATTTTCCATCTATTCACATTCTCATTGTCATTATGTGGCGCATATGTATTCGGTGTCCCTTTGTACCAGTGTTTATGTGTTCAACTAAATATATAAATCAGTTGAAATAACTGTACATCCGTTTAGTTACATGTATTTACCCCTTAGTAATTTAAGACATGTTTTCCCACCGGTAGTTTGTTTTATTCCTTAGAAGAGAAATTCATAGCTCGGTCAGTCTCCGTGAGCTTATCGTTTGGCCGATATTTGAATGGCTCACTGTGTCACTAATTCTGTTTATTTTATTGTCATGTAGGCTTTATTCCAAGTCTGCGGATTACTTTCGAGATACCATCTTCATTCTCTCTATCAATGGTATTTCAAAGAGAACCGACCGTACATTGTTAAATCACATCTATTTCGAAATAAAGCAGGTGTAACCAGTTAACATGTCTGCTTGATAACTATAAAATAACACCAGAAACTGCAAGGGATTATCTCGTACTGAGGCTCTAAATGAACACTATAAGTTGCAAAAGTAGTTTAATAAACATAATAGTTTTACAGAGATAATTAAATCATTGAAGTACTCACTGCTCCAACATTAGTGTTGAATTTGAAATTTTCAGTCGTTGGGCAATATGCCTTAATATTGAGTGGAATGAAACCTGAATCTCACACTTACGTACAACGAATTTGTTTATTATTTGGGAAGACAATTTATTTTAGTTTCCGTTTTTGTTGACTTCCTATATACGTGACAGTTGTTTTATAAAACAACTAATATGGTTCACAAATTGTTATCCAAAAGCGGATAAATTGCAGTGCTAACTAGTCTCGAGTACTTCTATATTTTCAGTGTAGAACGTGTGTCCATTCATCAAATCTCTAATGTTTGTTAATCTAGTGAAGCTTATAGATCTCAAGTTTATTCACTCAAGATGAAGAACTAACTTATTGTCAAAATATGTATTTGTCTGATCATTTTTTAAACATAAATATTTCGACTGAACCTCAAATTTTGATAATAAATGTCATCTCTGTAGTACGTCATAAAATTGACCCATGCAAAGTATCTCAGTTGCCTACATGGTAGCATGTTCGTTTTCACTGTTTTCTATTTTTCTCACCAACAGGATGTTGTACTTGTGAATCAGGATAATCCTGAGGTCATTTGTTTGGAGTGTATAGGTCATGTAGAACAAACTATGGCAGCCGTTCCTGACTTGGAAACTTATGTACATTTGGGCAAATAAATTGTTAATCTACGTTAAAACTGTACATATAAGCATTCAATTAAGTGTACAAATAAATGTCTGCTGTTTATCATCTAGTATTTTTTTAAATTAATTTCATTGATTTACCTTATAATTAGTATGAAAAGTTTCAGGTGAATTTTTCTGAAGTTTTGATTGTGCGTAATGATCAACACTTATAAACGTTGATGCTTCATATCAGGTTGGAAAATCGACCCTCAATTTGTAAAAGATGAACAAACCAAACGAGTGACTTTTAATTTCAAAGCTCGTGTCGTTAGACGTCTGCAGGGGATTCAAATGCTAGTTTCTTATGGTCTCGGATTTGATCATTTTTACTCTAACGAGTTTACTAGAGCAGTTTCCTTGTGCTACTGACCAACACTGACATATATTGTCGGAGAGTTATAAGGATCCACTGATCCAGCTAAGCCCTGATGGAAAAAAATCCAACTGACACGTGCATGGTCAATTCTGAAGTATACTATGTCGTTCTTAAGTTTGTTGTTAAGGTGCTACAAATATACCTCGAGTGATTATAAAGTCTAGAATCTTACGAAATGTAATGTTCAAATATATCCCTCTGGTGTCGTTAGTGTTCCAAACTACTAAGATTATACATCGAGGTTTCAAAATGTATTGTTAATATTCAAGTGAGTGATCGGATTACTGACCCAAATGAACTGATATTATAGACAAGGCAATAAGGTCACAATAACAGATCTTTTGTTAAATAATACAACATTCTTCCATACGGATGATTACGAGAATAATAAACGATCAAAGCAAATCAGTTTTGCAGGACACTAATTAATACTTGACCGTTAAACCTAATTCTTCGTCATATCAGTTAAGGAATTTAGAAATACTATAGACTGCTAAATTCAGTTTTAACACAGAAGTGTCAGTAGGTAACTAGATTGTTGTAAAACCAAAGAAAGTTTCGAGTCAAATGTTCTCTGAACTATAAGTGATTTGTAATTGAATATGTAGCATATCTGCCGTTAGTAACTTCAAATAATCTTAATTTCAAACTTATTAGTCATTTAAAAATAATTGGCTGCTAACGTAAAGTAGATTGTTTAGCGTACAAATGAAAAGCATCGTGATAACGTGTGCTGTAGTTTTTCCTAGTAATATTATTACATCTAGTGTTTGTATTTCAGCCTTTTTGTCACTTAAATTCGAAGACATGAAATTCTAAAGATGAGCTTTCCAAATGGGTGGTCAAATCGTAGAGCCCACCAACTGCTATTTTGGACAAAATTAATAAAGGCATTACTACAATGACCCTAGCAGCAGAATCTCATTGTTACTTTACATTTCATTTGTCAAACCGTTAATTTGTAGTTAAACGTCACTGTTTATTAACGGCGTCATATTGTAGTATTCCGTCTTCTGATCATTTTTTTGAAACTATTAACTGAAATGGTTCCTTTCGACTAATACGAACTTTCAATAAAGTTCCCAATATGAGCTGTGCGTTGATCAGATTCTTTACTAACACCCAAGGACTATTAATCTTATTTGAGATTATTGATTAGTAATTTAAAGTGGTGTAGTGTAAATGTGTACCAGTTCACACAACTGTGCGAAGTTTTTCAATGCTGTGCAAGGCTACCAGTTTGCCACTTATGATGGACGAAGGCTATCGTCCAGTAAAACGTGAAAAAAACCCTGTCTTATGCTTTCGCTAGGTTTTATTTATGTTTTCAAATGACACTCACCAAATACAGAATTATGTATAGGACTTTTGGTTACACCGAATGGCTCTCCAAAACGATGTAAACAGATAATTGTTTGATTCTGCACTCAAGCCATATTAAGTTTCCAATCATATAATTTAACTGACTACACAATAAGTCGCGATAAGACAAACCCTTCGTAAATATTTAAGTACGTTTGAAAGATCAGACAGAAGGATGAATCATGTTTAGTTTGTTGTTCATGTAATCTTGCTGGTGGTTAAGCTCGAAACTTTGTTTCGTGTCACACAAAACATCTGTCTAGCATAAAACGTTTATTCAGTTATGTTTATTTCTTAATTATTTTGTTTGTATAACCAAGAATTATGATTAATCAAAAACGAAGAATATTTGAGCGAACAATTGTTTTCAATAACTTCATCATCAGGCTCTACAGTTATAAGTCCATAATTATAATATTTTACAAAGGCCAAAAATAAGGCATGTTTTAATGAGTTTGACAATGTTATGTGTTAAAAATGGTGAACGTTTGCATCTGTTACGATATATATATATATATATATATACTTCAAAAAATTGTAATATTTGCAAATTAGAAAGGTCATTCCATAAAGGTCAGTAAATTGTTCAGTCACAATAAGATAATATAATAGTACTGTTGCAAAATTGAAAATAATTTTGTCAACTGAGATAATAATAATAATATTGTTGTGTGAATATAATATGTAATAAGGGGGGTGGGTGTTATCAAGGTAATTACGGTCAACAAATTGGGAATGATGGATATGAAGATTAAGATATAGATAATGACAAATAATGATACGGTCAGTAAAAAGACCTTATATCTGAAACTTGACTTTAAAGGCGACATAGCGGGTGACATTCTAACACGTCGACTCAAAAGATCTGTCGAGAGGACGTTTCATGCCGCCAAGTTACACATAACTTTCTCGACTAAGCCAGTACTCACACAACTAATCAAGGATAAGTTACCGAAGATGGGCTCCTCCATGTGTGTATACCAATTCAACTGCTCCTGTGGAGCTAGTTACATAGGCCGTACTCAGAGGGCTTTATCCTTGCGTGTTCGTGAACATGTACCAGCATGATTGGGAAAAGGAGTCACCAAATCGATTAACAGCACCATTCTTTCTCACTTGGTAGATAGTGAACATCATATTAAAATAGAGGAAGCTTTCTCTGTTTTATATCAAGTTCCAAAATATCTACCTCAAGGAGCTAGATTACGACTACTTTACACAGCCGAAGCCATCTGGATCAACTCCAGAAGACATAATTTATGCATCCAGAAAAAATATATCCAGCCTCTATGTTTACCCTGGCCTACGACTGGATCACCAAATACCTAAACTGAATATTATAAACCTCTTACCCCTTCCTTCCTTCATTTCATTTATTTTCCTTATTATCATTATTTGTCATTATCTATATCTTAATCTTCATATCCATCATTCCCAATTTGTTGACCGTAATTACCTTGATAACACCCACCCCCCTTATTACATATTATATTCACACAACAATATTATTATTATTATCTCAGTTGACAAAATTATTTTCAATTTTGCAACAGTACTATTATATTATCTTATTGTGACTGAACAATTTACTGACCTTTATGGAATGACCTTTCTAATTTGCAAATATTACAATTTTTTGAAGTATATATATATATATATATATCGTAACAGATGCAAACGTTCACCATTTTTAACACATAACATTGTCAAACTCATTAAAACATGCCTTATTTTTGGCCTTTGTAAAATATTATAATTATGGACTTATAACTGTAGAGCCTGATGATGAAGTTATTGAAAACAATTGTTCGCTCAAATATTCTTCGTTTTTGAATTATGATTAACTTAAAAAGATTGCCTTTATAATTGTTCATTCTATTTCATAACTGACTAAGATAGAATAAGTGAAATCAATTGGAATAATTTTTATTGAGTAGCTTTTTACTTGGGTTAGAACTGTATGATTTTTCGTTTAGAGAGCTTGACAGTTAGATTTTCAACTATTTGTAACAAAACATTTGCCAGTTGACGGTGTATCAAAATTTACAATAAACACTCTGTTAAAACTTATTCCCGTTTAAAAGAATTCTTTGTAGAGAAAGTAGACACAATTATCATAAATATCATACGTCTATGTCAGATAATTAGTTTAATTATATAAGTAATTTTAAAAGTAATAGATTTTATTGAGAATGGAAACCAATGTATAACAGTCAGCTGAAAACCCAAAAATATTTACAAAAGGTTAATTTTATTATTTAGAAGAACAATAAACTTATAGTGATATTTTGTCCAGTACAATGGTAAGAAAATACAAAAGACCAGTTTTTTTACTATCTTTAAAGGTCTGCCAACAAGAATTGGGATTCTTTAGGTCCGTCTTCCTTATCTGAAAATCACAATTTGTAATTTAAGTAAAACACACAAATAAAGTATATCAATAACTGTAACCAGATAAATCACCTAATGAAACTACTTAGATAGTGAAGTATTGGGTGAATTTTCGAGAGTAGAATAAGGATTAAACCGAAAACTGAATTAAAAGTTGATAAAAACTGCTAATAAGTGCGAAGTGTCAGTTTTCAATTTCCAAAAGTTATAATGGTTAAGTAGTGGTTTAAAAATTATTCTACTAGGTATAGAAACATAGTTTTGTTACAGTTGGATATTATTTGTATAATCGCATACTGGATAACCAGATAGACACTCGGAGAAAGCCTCAATGCGACTCCTCGTTTGAAAAGCAGCCGAAAACTGCAAGGCTAAACAGACAATGAGGTAAACCAACTTCAAATGTTGATTGTTTTTCTGCTAAAGTAACTTGAGTATGAGCTAAGTGTGCAGCTTGAAATTATACCGATTTCTAACCAAGCAGATAATGATTATGAACTAATAAGAAAATCAGCACCATGCTCCCTTGATTTAAATTATGGAAGGTTACATATTAATTAATCGTCATATAAACCTTTGTAATCCCATCATATATAATGGTGCAAAAACAACACAACAGAAGGGTATGTGACTACTCGTTTGGAGGGATGAGAGAAGCCCGAAATATGAAGCTTGGGTGTTTCTAGTTGATGAGCGCTGTTTAACGATAAACGCCATGATATCTCAGAACATTTTTTCTCATGAAATTAACAGCATTGCGAGGGGAGTAAGTAATATATATTTGACTGTTATTGATTTTGTAATAAGATTTAACAGTTGAGTTTTTATTTGTTTTAAAAGAATTTGTGACTACAACATCTATTCTGTAAAAAACGGAAAAGAAGTATCTTAACTTGCATATCATAGAAATAACACAATAGATAGTGAACTAGATTAGAATGTTTGTATGTGCTTACTCAGGGAATACAACCACTGAGCAGTAAGAAAATTAAAAACTATTATTGTAGATTCTTAAATTCTAGTGAATTATATATTAAGGATTCAAACATGCTTTACATTTATCCGTACTCAGAAAAACAGCTGTTGAGTTCTTATACTTCCACAAGAGGAAAACTCAGGAAAGAACCAAGAGCAGCTGTGAAAAGATTGACGGAAGCCTTTTATTGACTGTATAATGTCCTGACATTTGTAGGGACATCCCAGTAGACTGTAATCCAATAAATACTTAGTTATAGATGAAATACATACGCAGAGGTAAACATAGTACGAAAATATTCATCTAACATAGAATACATGTCGTAAACGGAAGAAAAATGACCACTAGAATCGATATTCAGATAAAGAAAGACTGGTTTGATATAGCAACATAACTGCACTTCATTACAAAACAACGGTTAGGAACTTTAACAGCGTAACTACAGCAATGATTTAGTGGTTCAATGATACGAATTGAAATCGGATAATATTATGGCATTTTTTAATATACTAATATATCAGATATTTGGTGAGAATAAGATATCTTCAGGTTCCAAAGTAATCAGTTATGAAGAATTTCTTGACTTGCAACGAAGTCTTCCATTGCCCACCTTGACATACGATGATGGCTGGTGTGGTAGAAGGTTATAAGAACATTATGAGACCAAATCAAGGCGTGGAATTAGTCGATGAAGACACTGACTGTTGAACAGGAGCGTACAGGTAGCTGCGGACTTCATGGGTGGGATCTATAAAAGCATCATAACCAATTGCTAGAGACCATGAGTAACATTGATTAGAATCTCTGACAATGGCACAGGCCCAAACACTTTGTTTTACCTTGGGTCCTAGGTTTTTTTATTCCACCAATCCATATTTTCTTTTCAGATCACATTTTATCCTTAACATTTCTATCACCACTAATACTACTACCATCTCGTAGTGTTAATAGGGTGGGGCAACTTGACAAGATGCATATATATGCCAGGTCCAAAGTTGCGTATAACTTATAAATGACTGACTGTCCATTTGTGATGGTGGAACAAATGAGTAACAAAATATCACATTACAACCTACATATAACATCATTGGGATGTTTATGGCTATTATTAGATCAATTCCTCACTTCGATTAGAAACTATCTTGAGTTTGGAATATGAGGGACATTTGACCGAAAAGATTAGGGATTTGAAAACAATAACGATTCATCTCTAATTTCTACCAGTAGAATTCGATATATGATCCATTGAATTTGTATTTTAATGATTACATCACAGGTCAGTCAGTCAGCTACAACGCAGAACCAGGCACATATATGAACCGGTTCAAGCTGCCATACCTCATTAGCACTACAAGATGAACACCGAAACATAGAAGCAGTTAATTCAATGATGGTAATATATAAAAGAAAGATCACGCGTTCTGTTCTCCGTTTTGTCTCCTCTTATTTAGGTATCTGGGTGACGTCATTGGTCCGTATATATTACAACATAGCTCGAAGATGAGTACACAACCGGTACTTGATAAATTACCCTTATGTGATAGTCAAACTTGGACATCGTATTAATTCAATCGAGCCATATTGGTCGGAACATTTGCTCCTCTATGTCCTATCATTCCAAGAAGATCAATTGGATAATGGAAGGACTAAAAGCAGCGAATTAAGATACGAGGGCGAAGTCATCTTGCTGATTGCACAGGGGTGTGACAGTAGTAAATTACTTCCCTCAAGTAACCGGCAACCACGGTGATGGTACCTTATCACGACGAAAAGGGGTCAGAAAAGGTCGATCCTCAGTATCACACCTCAATTTACCCAATAGATTTCCATCTTTAGCAACAAGACCCTTTCAAGAACTGAGCTAGCATGGAAACACAAAAATGCTACGCGATTGACCTCAAGCAGTTGTCCCTTGTGCTCTACAGTCACGCTCCCAGGTCGATAAGACTTCCACTAATCCAGTTACTTCGGTAAGAATTATTTTTTCACGATATGGGGAATCGGGAAATGGAGACCGCCATCATACTCTTGACAGAACAAGAGATCAACTCAATTATGATCGGACCCCTCCATATCTTATGTTTAGGTCTGACCTTTTAAACTATAAAAAACGCGACGGAAAATAATAAGCTAGACCGGAATATTTGGATAGGAACAGATAACTAAATGTTGAGCTTCTGTTTTTGTGTACTAAGAACATACAATTCCAATTCAATAATGTCTTTTACCGCCAAATTGATGGAGTAGCTATAGGTAGCCCTTTGGGCCCAATTCTGGCCGACATATTTATGGGAAACCTGGAACAAAAAAAGCTTAGGCACGCAATCGATGGTACTACACTCTACTGTAGATATATTGATGATACATTTCTCGTCTGCAAAAATCACAAGCACGCCATTAGACTACTCGATCTGTTTAGTAAAGCACACAAGGTTATAGAATTTACTATGGAACAGGAGGTTGAAGGCAAATTCCATTTCTTAGAAATTCGAACCAGACGAACATCTGATGGCACATTACATAGACACATTCATCACAAAAATACTTGGATTGGATTATATTTCAATTACTATAGTTTCTGTCCAATGAGTTACAAAAAGGGTATTGTACGAACACTTTTTGACCACGCACGTAAAATTTTTTCAAATGAATGACTGGATGACGAGATTGCTCTTATCACTAATTGTCTATGTGAAAATGCATATCCGATGAAATTCATCCATAAATATGCAAAACCACTCCTCGGGCAAAGTATGATAGAGTAAAAAAAACTTGCTTCTTATATTTACGTTTCAAAGGAGACGAAATTACTGAATTAATTAATCACAGATTAAATTCCGCGTTGAAAGAAGCCTACCCAGCAGCAAAACTGACGAAAGTATGGGAAACGAACTGCTGACTCAAACAAACTAAAATCGACAAGTCCTCTTTTCTCAGTAACTCCAACTGCATTTACCAATTCACATGTACGTGCCACAGCACATACATTGGAAGAACTGAGAGAAGAGTCCATGTTCGCATTTCTGAGCATGTTCCGAAGAACTTGAGGCTGCGAGGGACTAAGGCTCTCAACAGTGCAATAACCCGGCATTTACTTGACACCGGGCATAGTATCGACATCCCACATGCTTTCAAAATTACCAACAGACAAAAAAGTGTGACTGCTCTCCGTTTCGCTGAAGCAATCGCGATAAAAAAAACTTCCAAAAGAGACGTTAATAAACTTATTATTACCCTGGTAATCCAATTTTGGTTATTTTATTCATTTATTTATTTTAAACTATTTATTTTGTGTTATATTCCTCCCTCATTACCTAATTCTAAAACCAACTTTTCATTCACACATTTCCGCCAACTGATCCTCTTAAATTATGTTAACTTTTCAAATTCTATTTAATTATTAAGTAACCTATCTTATCACTGTTTTAATTCCATGAATCCTTCATTACCTCTAAAATTACCACACAATTTATGAACTCCACTAAACTATTACACCACCCATCCTGAATTATTTCCTTATTTCTAACACCAATTATCCTCTGACCTGTTCTTGCATATATATATATATATAGTTATTATTGTAAACCTTTGTCATTCCAGTTATTTACATTCATTTATGTCCATTGTTTCACACTATTTCTTATCTCAATGTACAATTCTATTACATATTTGGTTGTAAGCAGCTGACGAGAAACCTCGAAATATTATGAATACATACTATTCTGCATCAATATTTGTTCTGGCTTTATTTGAGTTGGAATAAGTCAGCACGTTCAATAAACTAGTTCGAGTGATGAACTACACTTAAGCGTCTGACAAACATGGGAGTGTATTAGGTAGGCTTCAAAAAGTATTTACTTCAGAATACTTTACAGCTGTTTAACTGGCTGAATAACAGTTCCAAGTAAAAACCGATAATGAAACCAGTTTTAATCAAAAATCAGTAGCAGGGTTCGAAGGGAAATGATACTAGCTTAGTGTCTAAGTTGACACGGAAAAAAGTGTTTGAACCTGTCACTTGATAATTCCATATCAGATATTTAAGCTAATAAGCCACAGATTGACAAAAATCGTATCATCCAAGCACACAATAGTGTACTAGATGCATAGAGAAACGTTACATGGACTGTGAATGCTAGGAATGATCAGTGAGTTGAAACCACTGATTTATGTGATGTGGACCAAATATTCGGTCTCCTATACTACACACTACCATTAAATATTAAGAGAAATCTAAATATGGAGGTGAAAACAGCAACTTACTAAATGAGCAATATGAAACATTGTAAGGAAGGTCCCAAGGTAATATAGACAACCAGCATTTGCGTTAATTCCAACAGTGAGGAGACACACTGTCATTCCCATGTGAAAAGCGCCCAAATATAATTTCGTTTTTTCTCCAAACAAAATTGCAGTTGATTTTACGCCTATACGGATGTCATCGTCGATATCCTAAAATAGAAACCCTCGTTATAGATTCAACATAAAATAGCAAACTTTAAAGCAAGCTATGAGCACAAACCTGATGTGCATAGATTGTGTCGTATATAATTGTCCAATTGAAGCCACCAAAATACAGAGGAATTGAAATCAGAGGGTCAACAGAACCTGTGACAGCAGAATAACCCAGCAAAGCACCCCAGTTGAATGTAAGACCTATACAGAACAAACAAACCTAATCTTTAAATTTCAGATAAAAAACAAAAAGGTGCTGCTGGTTTACTGGGCGACAAGTCAAAACACAAAACTAAGTATGCAGAATCGAAAAACTATGAGTCGACATATGAATATTCTTGAAATGCAGAAACTATTAGCGCGAAAAAGATTGAAGACAAATGCAAAACATCCTCACTTGATGAGAATATATGGTATCGTACGTGCATGTCCAACACACTGCAGCTAAATACAAAGGAGTGCACACGGAGAAAAGGCAAAAACCATTTATAGCAGAATACCCAAGCCAAACACCCCAGTTCAATGTTAAGCCTGTAACACCACATTGCAATAAACCAAGGTTAGAAAATTCTAGTGATTCTTACCAAGTACAAGCTGCGGCCAGTAAGTAATACGTTTAAACAGAGGATACGTGATGACAGGAACCAATGACAGGATACCAAGAAATACACTTCAGGAAATAACTAAAAAGCAATTCAAACCAACCTGTACCAGTTCAATTGCAATAATATTACAAGCGAAGTCGCTAGCTGAGCACCAAGAAACAATAAAGCCTGGGGAAAGGTTAGTGAACCCGAAGCTAGTGGACGATCCTTTGTGCGTTTGACAAGCATGTCGTATTTTTTATCCCACATATCATTTATTGTACAACCGGCACTTCGCATCAAAATGGAGCCAACACCAAATAGGGTTAGCATATAAATGTCGGGAAAGTGACCCGGTGGTGCAGCTAGAGCAATGCTCCACGTGCAAGGAAGGTATAACAGCCACGTGCCTGTTGGTCTAGCGAATCGTCCAAGTTCAAAATATGACTTCAGTAACTGTGAGGATTTGCTTGGTTGAATTTTAGGTGTATTAACATAACAAGACGTGTAGAGAAAGCGAGTACATTTATCAGATCCAAATCGCGAGAAACTACGTAACATCTTGTCTGATCTATCGATGAAGTTTATTTAAATGCTTTAATGCAGTCTGTAGAGCCATGCTGCATTGAACCGGGAACTGAGCCCCCGAACAGATAAGCCAGAATTTTTCAAGCAGTTGAAGAATGAGACTATTACTGGGAATGGGATTCGCAATATAGAATAATAGACTGTAACCTACAAAGAATAGGAAAAAAAGTAGATCGCACAAAAGTTCAAATCGACTAGTTAAAAACCGCATGATAAGCACATTTAAGTGGTTACTTTTTTGGCATAGTAAACCAAAATTATCCGTCGGAGCTACAAATCTCCATTTTGAAATTATGTTGTTTGTAGTACAAAGCTGTCGGTGTAGCGAGGGGCCCCCAAATGTCCTGGTACGGCCGAAAGCGGGGAGAGTTCGCTCTCCCTCTCGAAATGCTCTCACATGGCCACGCGTATATAGCCTCTGCCAGGGAATTCCTACTCACTGACTTCTCGTGGCCGGGGTGTTGTTTACAAAAATGAGAGGACGAAAAGCGAATGTCCGGCGCTTTAACCGGATTCCAAGCCAATGGTGCACATGGGCTCCAGTATCCTGCGGGAACAAATGGTGGATGAACCAGTCGTTGGCCACCGGCTTCCATGCGACTGTATCTCCTTACGATGCTCCACTGCCTTGTGGATCAGACCTTTAGGTCGAAGGCTCAGGGAGTGGCCCCCTAAGAAAACCACCTGCTTCGGTTTGGGCACCCGGGCAGTATCACAGCCCTCATACATATCGAATGAGATTTGTGTGGCGCATACGTAGTTGATGCCTTATTGTACCATTATCTACGTGTTAAAATAAAATAAAAGAAAGATGGGACCACAAAATAATTATTACTAATAAATAAAGACGGACAGGTTGCACAATCAACTGTGCCGAATTTCTTCAGCTGTCTTGTTATGCACTACTTTTTGAAATTCATTCCAACACGACGCCAAAACTAGTCTTAGGCATTAATTCTAGTTAGCATTAAGAGTGATAAAGTCGTACGAGAACCTGTAATCCAACAATATGTAGATGTCGAAATTATCATAAGATTTCAGATTTGTGTAGTAAGGACAGAAGGCCTACGGCCTATGTTATTCCTTTCTTAGTATGCTTCTGTGAGTGTCCAGTCTTCTCTTGAAAGAGTCAATTGAAGGTGCGGATACCACTGCTTCAGGCAGCAGGTTCCAAGTATTGATGACTCGGTGTGAAAACCTGTATGCCAGGGGTATTTTGTTCGTTCTTGGCTTTTCTACTCGCCTGCTATGTCCTCTGAGGTGTCCCGATCTAGTGGGAAGAAAGAGAGAGAATAAGTTAGGTCCGAAATCATTTCTCAGTATTCTGTACATCAATATTAGATCTCCCCTTAGTCTGCGATAGGACAGAGTAAAGAGGTTCAGTTTTTCAAGCCGCTCTCTATATGATAAACCCCGGAGTTCCGGAATTGCACGCGTAGCTGCCCTCTGTACCTTTTCTAGTATGTCTGAGTCACCTTTTAAACGGTGATTTTAGTAGCAGGCATTTTGGAACATGAAGTCTTGAGTGTCGTGAATTATGAGTAGAGACTAAGTACCGAGAAAGGACGAACTGGAAGTTAGAAACATCCTCCTGGTATTGAGGAAAACCCTAAATTCCCCTAGCTCTGGAGATTTCCCCGAAATACCTTTAGACTTGAGAGAAAACCCAATTTCGGGGAGAATTTAGCACATTTTGGAGAAGCCGCTATAGTATATTTCGGAGAAGTGGCACAACAGCCCCCAAATTTCCCCGAAATTTGGGAGTTTCTCCAAAATACCCCAAAAGTTCCCCAAAATTGGAAGCTCGGGTAAAGCTGTTTTACATACCACAATTGTCGCATGTATTCCTGTTTGATAAACCATTCACCACTTTATTTGACTATAAAGATTATCGGTTTATTTTATGCGTACAATTAGTAATAATGGAGTAATCTAGTTACTATAATAATGTGACCAACCAGGTACGAGGGCACGTTAGAGCCGTTCGAATCTTTCTGCCCTTTCGTTTCAACGACCTTGAACGGCCTGACCAGAGGCGGTCATTCCGTATTTCAATTGCCGTGGGTTGGTTGGATTGCATGCGTATCAAGTTTTTTCATATATAAATCATCTTATGCTACATTAAAAAGCACGAAATAACTACCAAAGGCATTTATTTAATATTCTATGTTTTGTAGTGTACACGTTGGCTCTGTTGTTGCTTCGTATTTTGATCTGTGATCCCATCTGCAGTAGTAAACCTCAACGAAATGTTAAGACACCGGTGAAACCTAAGTATTTCTAGTATTTCCTTGGGTTATTACTGTTGCAAGGAATAACATTTTTTATAGTTAATGATCTCTGTTTGTGGTGCTTCATGCTCTAAAGACATTTCAGTCGACCTTAGCGATGCCTTTCAAAGTATGATTGTGAACAAGCGTTTCGCGTGCTGAGATGACTTTGATAGCGCCCTAAAAGAGTTCCAAAAAGTATGGAACAGTAATTTTATTGCTTCTCAGACTACTTATACTAGTTACATCTACACAGAAAGCAAGTTGCTGAAGGATGTTAGGTTCAAATACCTGTTTGTAACGTTTCACTGTACATTTGGTCATCAGCGAAAACCGGAAGGTTTGAAACTGAAGCAAAATCGTGAGATGTTTAACTAATATCTGGTGTTGAAGGTCTAAATTCCGTAATTGCCAATCTAAGTTCCGTGTAAGACTAGAGGAGCAAGGATACGTCATCAAATTCTACAACATGCTTCACAATCATCCATGAAGTAGTTCATGGATGGTTTGTGATCCATGGACAAGAAGATTGTCATCCCAAGAAAAAGAAAACTTGAAGCCAGTGATATTGCACTGTCAGTCAGCAGATGAAGTTATAGAAAGTATTAAGGAAAGGACTGGTAACCAGGTTACCGCTGCCGATGTCAAGCTATGAAAGGTGAATTTTTCACTGGTAAGTGTATAGAAATATATTGGAGGTTGCACTCCAAAGCAGATAATGCACATGCTGAGACATAACGGTGAAGTTAGGGAGCATGTAGAAAATGGATATATCACGAGAATATGCTTCAGCAGTTATGGCCAGATACGGTTGTACAATAAATATCCGGAAGTTCTGTGTATTGATTCTCCGCATAATGCTAATAATAAGAAGTGGTTATGTTTTTCCTTGTATTCCCTGTTTGTAGATATTCATTATTCCAGTTGGTTGTAACAGATAATTTTGGTCGAGGACGTACTCTAACGTTTGCGCGAACGCGAAAAGAAATGCGTGCAGATGTTACCTGGATTCTTGATAAATGCGAAGAAATCATGGTGAAGATGTCACAGGTATTCAGTGTTTGATAACGCTTTTACCAGTAACACCTAATATAACTCGTACCCACCAAGAGAAATCAAAGGACAGAATAGAGGAGATCAGAAGTCGTATTTGACGATTGCCAATATATCGGAATTGTCTGATCTAATCTGGCTAGTGATTGCAGTAGATGTTGAACACGGCGTTCCTACACGTGATCTGGTGAGGATGCATGACTGAGCGCCTTCAGCTAGGTGAGTCCACTAGAACATGTGGTCAGCATCCAATGTCGAAAACTTACAGAGCTATTTATGTTGGGGATTTATTTACCGCTACAATGGGAAACACAACAGGGACAGAAAAATTTGTTATGGACTGCGCGCGATCAGAAAGCGCGGCTGTCCGTACCACATACGAGCGTGCAAACATTATTCTGTGCTCTTTTCACGTAATTCGCGCTTTCCGTAAAAAGGTACACCACTGGTTGCTTACATGAAATTCCCCATAGACACATGGCAAGATACTGAGAACGTACCTGACTCGATTGGTAACTGAAGAAACGGTTGGAAGGTATTTTTTTAAATGATTTTATTCACTGGATTTATACAATATTTCAGAGACAGAATGATAGGCCATTACCTATCTCGTTTTTGGATGTCACGTAAAGCAATGTGGGCGCGTGCCTTTTACGGCAATGTTTCAACTTTGAGTAACAACACGAATAATCGTGTTGAGTCACTTAATCGACAGATAAAAAGATATTTACGCAAAAGTGATAGTCTACACAAATGTATGTACCTACACGATTTATAATGTGAAACACTGAGTATAGTTGTTAAATTTAAATTTAAATATTTCATAAGGTAAATGAAAATGTCAATAGGCAATATATAACACAGTTATCGTAAACTTGTAAACTGGTTTTCCAAATGATCTTTCATCATCACAAATTCCCTAAGTTGCACACCGGCGTAAACATTATCACAAAGCTTTGAGAACCTTAATAGCTTCATACATTTCTGAAAAACAAAAAAACAAACATTTAAACTTAGTCAGCAGTATCGCATTCAATAAGTTAATCAAATAGAAGGTAACAGAATTTACCTATAAGTTTCTTATTTGCAAACAGTGCTATTCATCAGAGATTTCGGATCCTGTTAATAGAAATTCATCGGTAATCTGTAGAGCAGACACATCATAAGTAAGCGTTATTTACAATTTGCTGTAGTTGCCATCACCACAACATACAGGGATCGATCGCTAGTTCATTTTTCGTCACGTATTTTGCATGAATTACTTTGGACTAGTCAGTCTGTAATGGAATAGGTATTGAAAAATCAACTCATTAATAGTTGTTAGTTGATTCTAGGGTTGTGTCATATAAAAGACTAGGAGCTTCAAATCCCCATCATATAATTGTGAACGCTTCACAGTCTTATGACATGTGTTTATACCAAGTTTATGATGTAAATGAAATGTTAATGGTGTTCACAGCACATATCGCCATAAAACTCTGATTTCACTATATTTATGAATTCGCTAGCAGGTGACGAATAACCTATAAGTTTCTCATTACATGTAAACAGCACTCTTCTGTTTCTAACCCTTCTGGTATTTCGCCTAGACATTTGGTATTAACAAAAAATTTGGTAAGCACAATTTAGATATTACTCGACAATATGTATTATAACTTTATTCATAATTTGGTCAGTGATTGAGGATTCTGTTTACAGAAACTTATTCGTAAATCCCATAACACATCCATCATCAATCAGTATTAACTATGACATGGTTTTTTTCACCACACTCAAAAGAAACACGCATAATTTTACTTATTAAGACTTTTTGACTACTTAATGTAGCACTTCCAGTGGTGTTATATACTGTTCCTATATACCTTCAGAAAGTGGATGGAAAAGACTATCAACGTCAATTGTTACTCACATAATTATTCTCAGATACGTTAAATAATAATAAGTCACTTCAGTACAAAACGATGATACTTATAATGGATATAACTGTTTATGGTTAAATATTAAGAGGTTACATAACATTAATAAATAGATTAACGTATAATTGCTTCTACCTACATTTTATAAGCAACTAACAGCATCCATGTTCATCATCACCATAATCAAAGAGGTGAATTATATGTAGTATATTTTGAAGCTGACTTTCCTGATAACTCAATCTGTGATCTATTTTTTGACTTAAAAGATTGTAAATTTTACCTGCTTGAGTTTGTATTGTTACAAATAACCATATTAGACTTACTAAAGATTCACTTAGGTCGTGAGCGAGAATTAAGTCAGTCTGCTGATAAATTGAAGCAACAATTTTTATTGGTACATGGAACGTCCGGACAATGTAGGAGATCGGGAGGACCAGTCAAATGGCAACGGAAATGAGGAGATACAACTTGTCGGTCCTTGGAATTAGCGAAACTCATTGAACCCAAGCTGGATAGCAAAGGTTAGATTCGGGAGAGATGCTGCTTTACTGTAGTCACGAAGAAGAAAATGCTTCACACACTCAGGCAGTTACTCTGATGCTGTCCAAAGAAGCACGCGATGCACTTATAGGATGAGAATCTGATGGACCCAGGATCGTCAAAGCATCTTTCAAAACGAAGGAGGGGATCAATTATTGTTGTCCAATGTTAGAACCCGCCAATGATAGCAACGACGACGATAAAAATCAGTTTTGTGAGAGGCCGCAATCGATCATAGTGAAATGCTCAGGAAACGAATTAACCATTCTGATAGAAAGCCTAAAGGCCAAAGTTGGAATGAACAATGCAGGCTGTGAAGATATCATGAAATGTCATGAACTGACTGGGAGAAAGGAACGAGAATGGTGACAGATTTGCAAATTTTTTGTTAATTCAATGGCCATCAGACAAATCAAGAGCGGGAAAGCAGCAGGACCTGACATCATACCAGCTGAAGCACTGAAGTCAGACACAGAAGCAACTGCAAACATGCCCCACGTTCTATTTAGGAAGATTCGAGAGGAGGAACAAGTGCTGATAGACTGAAAAGAAGGATACCTCATCAAAATACCAAAGAAAGAAGATCTCAGCTAGTGTGAAAACTAAAAAGTCATCACACTACTATCGGTACCAGGAAACGTTTTCGACAGTGTTGCTGAACCGGATGAAAGATTCAGTAGACGTCCAACTTCGAGATCAACAGACTAGATTCCATAAAGACTGATTGTGCACAGACCAAATCGCGACTCTACGGATCATTGTTAAGTAATCAGTTGAAAAAAGCTGATCAATATACATCAAAGGCTGTTAATAGGTGATAAATAACGGCACAAAAAATTCTTCGTGCTTAGTTACTTAATCTTTCTAGTCGTGATTGTACAAGGTTTGTAAAAAAACTGACTGTCCGAGTTTGAGTGATCGTATTGTTTGGTGGTTGGCTGGCAGAGTTATTTTTGCTGCTTGATCGTCACTCATCTTCCATGGCAAGCAACTAATTATTTGTTTTATAGTAATTTGTTTGCTTGATATTTTTTAAACTTGACTATTCAAACTTTGAGAGCCGTATAGTTAGATATTTTTCTATAATCTGCATCCATGATTCTTGTGACTAAGACCTTTGTCAATACAAATATTGCGTTTTGATTTTACTCGTGGGAAAGAACGAATGCTATCTATTGGCTAAAGAATATACAGAGCTCACACTAAAAATGTTTGAACTTTACAGTTGAATTCTTTGTGTGAGGATG